CTTTTAAAAATCGTTTTATTTGGGGCTCGTACAGCTCTTATCACAATCCATCCATCCATCCATTGTGTCAAGCACATTTGTACATTTGTTGCCGTCATCATTCTCAAAACATTTTCTTTCTACTTGAGCCCTTGGTATCAGCTCCTCATTTTTCCCTTCCCCACTCCCCTCCTTCCCTCATGAACCCTTAATAATTTTTTTTCCTGGACTTTTTTCCCTTTTAAAGTTAAATTTCACTCTGCCTTTTGTTTCTTAAGAAAGGACTTAAAAGGCTGTGGATTTTTAGTGCAGCTTTGGGGCATAATCCATGGGTTTCTGTATTCACTTTAGACTGTGTTTTTGCCACCCCCACCCACTCTTTTTCCAACCAGAGTTGTTAAAATTCAAATGTTTACATTATTTTAATACAACTTTTGTTCGCAGCCATCGCAGCCTGAACACAGCCAGGCTCATCTAATCCAGCCTTTGGTTATTAATTTCTTGGTTTCATTGCATTATAATCACAGAACATGGCCTTTATAAATATTTTCTCTTTGATTAGGGGATTGATTTGTTTTTTTTTTCCATATCATGATGAGTTCCGTTTTGTGAACAGGAAAACAAAATGCCAAATATATCATCTTTATCAAACAATCGGCATTTTCTCAGGTTGATTTGATTTTTAAAAGACCTGCATGTTTACAGGATAGGACTGTTAACAACAAGCTTGAATGTTAAATTAGGTATAAATGATCAAGAAAAAGGAATGTCACATTTTAAAAATATGCTTTAAAAACTTTTCAACCTGCATTTGGGAAGGCATATATTCTAAAGGTAAGTTAAGAATTACAGATTTCTTAGCCCAGATCTTTGGCTCTTAGCTGTTACTGCTTTTTTGGTTATATGATGGAAGAGAGGTATACGATAACTCCTTGCTCTAAAATGTGAGTGAATTTGTTGTAAAGACTATTTCTGGACTTCCTCAACCTGGTCTGAAGTAAAATAAAATAAAAATAAAAAGAATATTTCTGGGACAGTTGGTGAGATATGAATATGAACTGTATTAGGTACAGTCCTGTGTCAGTGGGGAATGTTTGAAATATGATCATTACATCCTGGCTGTGTAAGAAACCGGCCCTGTACTTGAGAGAACAGGGCTAATGCAGTGCTAAGGTTGCAGTGGCTGCAATGAATGCTCAAATTGCTCAGCAGTTTGGAAAAATTGAAAATTAATAAACGTAATAGTATATTTATGCATACTAAAGGCTCTAGAAAATAACAGTAAAAAATTGTCTAAACATTTTCCATACTTAATTTGAAAGTTTTTTTGTTGTTGCAGGGTGCCTGTTTAAAATGTTCTGAGCAGTGAGAACACCAGTTTGGGATTCCTACTAATTAGAAGATTGTTCTTATTATCTTTATTTGTTGTTGTACATCTTAAAGTCAAAAAGTAGCTTTCATGTTTCCTAATAACTTTTGGAAGTTTGTCTTTTTCTATCTAGTCTAGCTCTAACACTGTGCTGTCATCTGTGAATTCAGATCTTCATTGCTGATATCTAGATCTGCTTCATCGAGGAGTATAGAATTTCTTTTAACCCCTTTTTCCTTTAAAATATTTATTTTCGTGTTTTTGTTTTGTGGATATTAATTTGTCTCATTTATAAAGCACAGTTATTTCTAACGGAATCTAACCTTTGTACTTAAGCAGGTTAAACTGTATTTAGGGCAGTTCTTGCCCTTCTCCCTCGTTGTGGAATGGTTTGTGTTGGGCTGTGCAAGGCCAACAGTTTGAAACCACCAACCTTCCCTCCCATAAATAGTCTCAGAATCATGCAGCGGCAATTGTACCCGATCCTGTAAGGTCACGATGAGTTGGAATCGGCTTAGTGGCAATGTTTTCTGGGGTAGAAACCCACAGGGTGCATTCCATTCTGCCCTATAGACTTGCTATGAGTCGGATCGACTCGATGGCAGGGAGTGGGAGGATGAGTCTGCCTGCTTCTATAAAGTTTGCTCTGGTTCGAAATCTACTTCCTTAATGTTAGATAGTTTATATTGATGTTTCCAAGAAGGAAGCATCCATGAATGTTTTTTTGTTTGTTTGTTTAGACATGTACAGGAGTACTGTAACTTTACCACTAAACTCAAGAGGGTTAGTGAAAATAATAATTTAAAAATTAACTTCACTTCATTATGAGCAAAAATGAGGCTAAATAATGCATGGGTTCTGAATTAGTGCGTAAGAAATGATCAAGAAGTCTTTACAACCTTGCATAATAAAGGTGTTACTCTCGTGTGTCCGTAGCTAAAGCAATGGCTGTACCTCAGCCCAAATACCACAGAAAGTAGCATCAGGAGCAAAAGAAGGACTGAAACTAAGGTGCCTCTGAGTGAAGTGAGCATACGATCATTTTAGAGAATGAAGGGCAGCTGTGAGTTCCAGATCCAGGGGAACCCGTGAAAGTCAGAGCCTGTGTAAGGCACAAACCTGTTAGAGAGGAAAACGGAAATATTTTGCAGTAAAGCAAGTGATTAAAAAAAAAGTGAGGCTGCATCTTATCAATAGCAGGCAACCTACAAGACGTGGGAAAACGAGGGAGTACAAGTTCTAGCGCTGGCGGGCATCACTTGAGTACATGGAACGATGTGCAGCCTGTGGGTGCTTGAAATAATTAATGTACTAGAGCATCAAGTGAATGCTTTTTAAAGCTTGAAAGTGACTTATTTGAATAATGGAAGTACAGTAATTAATGTTAGGAAGTAATTGCCACAATTTATACTAGCTAAATAGGTCTAAAGAGATTAAAGAAGATGAATTCATGGAATCAGCCTCAGGGTTGGCATAGCCCTGACTTTTAAAATTTATCCGAGGAGGGGACGTAGTCGACTGGACATCTCATGTGGTTTCTGATGTTTTATGTGACTCAGCCTAGCATTTGTAGGTTGTCGAAAGACGAGGCTCATTTATCTCAGTAAACATTTATAATTACAGATTTTGACTTTCTAGGAAGTAAAAATGAAATGAGGGCAACTTTGATAATTTTGCTAACTTTTCATGGTTGCTAGCTATTAGAAGTATATTTACCCCCAAAAAAGTATATTTACGTAGCAATTGGTATACATATATCTTTATATATAAAAATTTAAAAACTGAAATGATCCCATCACTATATTTGATATATTCTGCTATCTTCTATCCAAAAACAAAAATCAATAATGAAACACTGGATCGGTGTTTATAAAAATCTATCAACATGCTATGAGCTGTAGTTAGAGAACAGTGAAGCAAATAAGATAGTGTTTGTGAACATACATCCTAGCCCAATAACAATAATGTTACTTTTACAATAATTGGGCGCTTTCCTGATTTAAAAAAAAATCACTTAGGATGTTTGCTGTTAAAGATTATTGTTCAAATTGTCCAAGTTTTGACCAATAGAAGTCCTTTTTAGTAACCTTAAAAGAATTATCACGGATTCAACCGTTTTAAAAGTAAGACCTTTATTAAGTTATCACAAATGTAAGAAAATCAAAATGGGTGAATTAAAAGTGATAGAGATAAAATTAGTAATTTAACGGGGAAGCCCTCTTAAACATTGAAAACAGTACCGTTTCATTTGCTTGTTTATTTATTGTTGGAACCATAGTTAACAAAAGCATCGCACATTACTGTGTAGAAATACACAAAGCTGTGAACTTGCTGTTTAAACCCCTTTTTTAAATTTTTGTACTTTTATTTAACTTTGCTTTTTAAGTTGTTTGTTGTGTATTTACTTTACATCCCTATTTCCGTTAAAGTTACAAACAGCAAGTTTTTGTGTGTAAATTCCTGAAAGTGTTGGGATGGAATTACAGTAATGTGTTATGGCTTGGGCCCCTCGCAGGAGTGTATCTCGCAGTCAGCAGTGAAAACAAAGTTTGAACAGCACACTATCAGAGCTAAACAGATACTAGAGACTGTGAAAAACATAATGGACTCAATAAACGTGGCCGCGGCAGAGAAAAGGTATGAGTTCACTTTGTCACAACATATGAACGTTAGCTTGTTTTTCGGTGTGTCAATGAGAACTGGGCTTAGGGCTAAGGCTCTAAGTCCATACCAAAGTCAACCTGCGGGTTAACGGATGCCTCTATTGATGTATTTCTTTTTTCTTTTGATAATGAAATTTATTTATTTATTTATTTTTAAATTGTTTTATTAGGGGCTCATACAACTCTTATCACAGTCCATATACATCAATTGTGTAAGGCATATGTGTACATTCATTGCCTTCATCATTCTCAAAACATTTGCTCTCCACTTAAGCCCCTGGCATCAGGTCCTCTTTCTTTCTCCTCCCTCCCCGCTCCCCATATTTGTGTATTTCTTAATGTTTGAAGTCATATATCCTTTTAAACATGCATATTTTAAAAAATGAAATATATGAAGATATGGTTATAAATTTTCTGTAACCTTTAACAAATCATTTACATTATCTAGATCTCAGTATACCCATGTATGAATTGTATTTTTTTTTTCCTTTTTAAACATTTTATTAGGGGCTCATACAACTGTTATCCCAATCCATACACACATCAATTGTGTAAAGCACATCCGTACATCGTTTCTCAAAACATTTTCTCTCCATTTAAACCCCCGACATTAGGTCCTCATTTTTCCCCTCCCTCCCCGCTCCCCCCTCCCGCATGAGCCCTTGATAGTTTATAAATGGGTATTTTGTCATATCTTGCCCTGTCCGACGTCTCCCTTCATCCACTTTTCGGTTGTCTGTCCCCCAGGGAGGAGGTCACACACAGTTCCATGTAATCGGTTCCCTCTTTCCTACCCATTCTCCCTTTACCCTCCCTGTTTTGCCACTCACACCACTGGTCCTATAGGGCTCATCCGTCCTGGATTCCCTGTATTTTCAGTTCCTATCTGTACCAGTGTACCTCCTCTGGTCTAGCCAGTCTTGCAAGATCGAATTCGAGTCATGGTAGTGGGAGCGGGGAGGAAACCTTTAGGAACTAGAGGAAGATTGTATTTCTCATCATTGTTACATCGCACCCTGACTGGCTCATCTCCTCCCTGAGACCCCTCTGCAAGGGGATCTCCAGTGGCCTACTAATGGGCTTTGGATCTCCACTCCGCAGTCCCCCCATCATTCACTATGGTAAGATTTTTTGTTCTGATGATGCCTTACACCTGATCCCTTCAACACCTCGTGATTGCATAGGCTGGTGTGCTTCTCCCATGTGGGCTTAGTTGCTTCTGAGCTTGATGGCCGCTTGATTACCTTCAAGCCTTTAAGACCCCAGACGCTATACTTTTTGATAGCCGGGCACCATCAGCTTTCTTCACCACATTTGCTTATGCACCCATTTGTCTTCAGTGATCCGTTTGACACCCCGTGATCACACAGGTTGATATGTTGTTCCATGTGGGCTTTGTTGCTTCTGAGCTAGATGGCCGCTTGTTTACCTTCAAGCTTTTAAGACCCCAGACGCTATATCTTTTGATAGCCGATATGAATTGTATTTTTAAAGTATTTAGTGCATTAAAAAAATATAGATATATATATATTTTTAAAATAATTTTGTTGGGGTCTCGTACAGCTCTTATCACAATCCATACATCCATTGTGTCAAGCAGATTTGTACATTTGTTGCCATTATTCTCAAAACATTTTCTTTCTACTTGAGCCCTTGGTATCAGCTCATTTTTTCCCCCTCCCTCTCCCAACCACCCTCCCGAACCCTTGATAATTTATAAATTATTATTATTTTGTCATGTCTTACACTGTCCAATGTCTCCGTTCACCCATTTTTCTCTTTTCTGTCACCCAGGGAAGGGGTTATATGTAGGTCATTGTGATTGGTTCCCCAACATTTAAGATATTTTAAAACAGGAGAAGAAGCACTTCTTCCAGCAGAATTTTATGCTCATGTTCAAAACAGTAGTTCTTGTCTTTGTTATATTCAACTTACTACCCATTCCTTCATATATTCATACATTGGTATTTTGAAATCCATTGTTGAGCCAATTATCATTCTTTTGTGCATTGGATGGTGAACAGACAAGGTGATAACTTGCTAGCCAGAAACACAAACTGGTAAGCATGACCCTATTTGCCATATTGCGCTGTACTATTTTATTTCATTTATTACCTTATAAAGAATGGAAATAAATGCTAAAATAGCCAATACTAAATGTGGTAACTTGAACCAGAAATCAAGATGTTATTGTGATAAATGTGATATTAAGCCTCCATTGGAACTTGCTTTAAGCCAGTTGAGAGAAAGAGAAAAAATACCCAAGAATGTGTCCAAGGAGATGTGTAATTGGGATTGAAATTTATTTCATTTAGCTGGAAACCACTCTACTCACATTCTGGGTTGCTTCACTTTGGTACGATCTTGGGAATGAATTAATGTACATAAATAGGGAATGTCGGCCTGTAAAATACAGGAGAGAAAACTGACTCTGATCTCAGTCCATTTTTCCGGGCCTCTATTTACCCAACCACACCCATTGTCTGTCCTTCAGTCATTCTGACTGAAAGCCATACTGTGGGCCAGCTCAGAACTGTTTCCAAGACACAGTCTTTACAGAAGCAGGCTGCCCCTCTTTAGCCCTTGGGGCCACTGGGGGGGTTTGCGCTGTTGACCTTTCTCAGCAGCTGAGTGCTTAACCACTGCACCACTAGGGCTTCTTTGCTCTCCTCTGTAGTCTCTGCTAATATATGAGAGATTACTGTTAAATTCCCATCCAGCTTAATTGCTTTATTATAGTATCCCCCCCCCCAAATTGACCCACCAAATTGACCTTGCTGCTATTAGTTTTTAATTATATGGCATTAAACTAAATATGATAGTTTTTATAGCTATAATATCTTGGGGTCTCTTAGCTAAGTACCTTTTAAAAAGAATCATTGGTCTTATTTTCTTGTGTTATGGTACAGGGGTCACTTTTCTGTAAAACTGCCACATGATAAATCTCTCAGGCTTGTGGGTCCTACTCTTTTGTAACTCTTCCTCTGCTACACACCTGTAGACTGAAAGCAGCCATGCTCAGGTGCAGTTGCTGGATATTGTTGTGCTTCAAGAAAACTTTAATTGAAATCAGTAACTGGCTGGATTTGGCTTACAGGCTGCCATTTGTTGACAGCTTGTTTAAATGTTGAGGCAATATTGTTTTGACTGTTCATAATTGTTAAGTGTTCTGAGACGTTAACTGTTAATCCCTTGTGGTGTTGAGATATGCCACATGGGAAGAAAATAAAATCTCTGCACATCTATAAGGCTTTTGTAAAGAAGTATTTGAACCCTTTTAGGTGTTGAAATAGGACATTTCTTTTTTTCTTGTCTTGCTAAGGGGTGATTCGGTACATAAATGAATGAATGCCCTTGTTTAATTGCTTTGGGACATGAATGTAACCTGAATATATTAATTGCTCTAATCTAATACTGTTATAGAGTATATTCAATAGAAGAGAGGGAAGACCAAATTGACAGATTGGACTTTATTCGGAACCAGATGAATCTTTTAACACTGGATGTTAAGAAAAAAATCCGAGAGGTTACGGAGGAGGTGGCAAATAAGGTAAGGGGGAAGTATTTCACTTCAACACATGGAAATGAAAATAATTTTTGATAATTTTGCAATATCTTATCACTGGCCTCCTAAAGGAGTACTTAAATTTTGTATTGTTTCCCAATTTGATTTTCTTTTAGTAGTTTATGGCCTTGTTTATTAATTGATGGTCTTTAATTTTTAATGTTTGCAGGTTTCCTGTGCAATGACAGATGAAATTTGTCGACTTTCTGTTTTGGTTGATGAATTTTGTTCAGAGTTTCATCCTACTCCAAGTGTATTAAAAGTTTATAAGAGTGTAAGTTGAAATGTCAGTTATTAGAGACAGTTTCTTCACCTACCCTTTACTTTGACATAGTGGTTTGAGCATTTTAGTGTCTTCATTGTTTCCAATACAAAGTTCAACCGTTAGCATTTTGGGAGCTCTCATGTAACAAATGCAAGCTATCTTTTGGCATAGAGGGCTACACATTGGCGTACCAACAGAAAAGACAATGGTTTGAAAACACCAGCTGCTTCACAGAAGAAGGATGAGGCTTTCTACCCCAGGAAAGATTTACAGTCTTGGAAGCCCACAGGGACAGTTCTGTTCTGCCCTGTAGGGTCGCTATGAGTCAGAATCAACTCAACAGTTGTATGTTTGAGTTATTTTATCTTGTATTTGAAATACACAAAACAATCATCCTTTCATGGGAGAGAGTAAGATTACTAGGTTTGGAAGTGTACAAAATATGTGCTGTTTTCTTTGGAAGCAATCACATGAACATTTCCCACTGTTCATAGGAGTTAAATAAGCACATAGAAGATGGTATGGGAAGAAATCTGGCTGATCGGTGCACTAACGAGGTCAACACGTCCATGTTTCAGTCCCAGCAGGAGATTATTGGTAATGTTGATGCCTACAAGGTCATGTTTAGCTTTTGTTCTTCCCTCCCCCTTTTCATTAGGAAAGAACTTATTTCTTGGATAGTTTTATATTTATTGAGTATTTTTAGAAGGCACAACATTATTCAACCCTTTTTGTAAAATACAAGTAACCATATTTTTGTTGTTTTCTAGAAAATTTGAAGCCATTACTTCCAGCTGGTGTTCAGAATAAACTACACACACTAATCCCTTGTAAGAAGTTTGATCTCAGCTATGACCTAAATTGCCACAAGTTGTGTTCAGATTTTCAAGAAGATATCGTATTTCGGTTTTCCTTGGGCTGGTCTTCTCTTGTCCATCGTTTCTTGGGCCCTACGAATGCTCAGAGGATGCTTCTTGGATTGTCTGAGCCTATGCTTCAGGTGTGTAGATTTGAATATCAGTCCGTATTCTTTCGCTATAAAATTAGCTTCACCTAGTCATCTGGCTTAGGAACCCTGACGGCGCTGTGGGTTACTGCCATAAGATCTGAGGTTCAAGCTCACCAGCTGCTCTTTGGGGAGAAAGACTCAGCTCTCTGTTCCTGTAAAACAGCTTTGGAAACCCAAGGGACCATTTCTATTCTGTCATATAGGGTTGCTGTGAGTCAGAATTGATTAGATGGCACTGCGCTTTAATGACTGGGGCTCTTTAGCATTGTTTTGTATGCTTAGTAGCCATCCACATGCTTTCTCTGGTAGAATGCATATTTAAGTATTTTGCCCATTTTCTAACTATTTGTTTTACTGAGTTATAGGACTGCCTATCAAATATATAATTTAATAAGATTCTTTTCAATATAGCTTGTCTTTTAAGTTTTCTTTAAAAATATTGTATTATCAAAGGGTACACAGCAAGTTAGTGTCTCATTTCATACTTATGACACAAATTATTTGGTGACATTAATTCAATTAATTTACAATATTGTCAGCATTCTCCTTAATTGTGCTCTGGCCATTCCCTTTCTAGTCCTTTAGGCTTCCTGGCCCCTTCTCACCTTTGCTTTAGAGTGATTGTTTACCTTTCCGTCATATGCATGGTTTTCAGTGGAAATGTACCACGGAAAATGTCTTTTATGTTGTATTTTGTATGCTTGTTAGGTGATGTCCAGTCAGTTCTGACTTTAGTGCTGTATACGATAGTGAAACACTGCCAGTCAGGGACCTCACAGTCATTGTTGTGAGTCCATGATTGTAGCCACTGGATTAGGGCCTCTCATTGAGCAGCTCCCTCTCAGGAGAAAGTTGAGGCTGTCTGCTCCCGTAAGATTTACAGCCGCAGAACCTAGTATTGCAGTTCTACTGGATGTCCTCCAAGGTCACTGTCAGTCAGAACCAACTTTGATGGCAATAAATTTGAGTTTTTAAATTACAGGTACATTGTACGTTAAGAAAATTATTGGGGAAAAAATTATTTTTCTTTATAGTATCTCTTGCTCATGTCATAGGAAATTTTCAGACCTATTTTATTGTCTTTATATACTTATGGTAAACTCATTATTTAGGGTCATTTCTCACAGATTTACTGTATTTTTTTTACAAATAACACGAGCCTTCTTTATTTGTTTGTACAACCATTCCCCCTGCCAATTTTCATAAGCATGCTATGCTAATGTTTTTATAGCAACATTAAGTAAAAAGTAAGCATAATGCTTATGGCAAACAAGCACAGGTGGGCATGCACTTACTACATAAAAATATGGTACAACTAGAATTTTTGAAAATTTCATAAAGATAACATTCATAGTTATTTTAACAGTAATATTTGCTTTTCCTTAACCTATCAGCTCCCTAGATCTTTAGCGTCTACGCCGACTGCTCCTGCCAACCCAACGATGTCCGATACTGCATCACAGGAAGAACTTATGGTGACCGTGA